TTAATTAATATATTAAAAAATAAAGTTAACAATCATATAGTATTTTTATCTTACGTTCTCTGAATCTTACATAATTATCTACAAGATTAAACGAACTGAGCCAAATGATACTGCCCACGTTTTCATGCAAGGGCTTCGATTTATTTTGGATAATTTAGGTAAGTGTGCTCCAAGCAGGACGGGGCCCGAAACTTGCGCCTAATTACAATTCCTTATTCCTTTTTTTAAACCTATTGAACATTTGTCTATAAGGGCCGTTATAGAGGTAAAATGATGAAAGATCACCCCTTAGAATCGGGTTTAGCGAAAATAACTGTTAGTTTCAAGTCCGCACTTTCTTGCCATTAGAGCTAATCTTTGGCTGAGTACGATGCATTCCCTTAGAGAACTTAATTAGTTAACACAGTTGGGGCCATCGTTGCCTTGGCTTACAGCTATTTAGACTTGGGCTTTAATTGAAAATAAGAAATTTAGCTTATTTGGAAAATGACCGCATCAAGTCTTATCAACTAAGTACCTGGCGGGTTCGGTATGCTTGAGCTTGATGTCGAGGGAATTGATGCGGACGTGCTTTGTTGTTGCTGATGGTGATGGACTTGTGATGTTAGGGAAGCTGCTGCGGTGCTTTGCATGACTGTCGGGGGCAAAGACACTTTTGTCATTCCACTTGAGGGTGAAGTCAACGGCAATAATGGCTGCCGGTCGCTGTACGACTTGGACAATCGTTCGCTGAGTGCTTTCAGTGCAATTTGCCTGGAAAATCAGAATTTTGAGTTAAATTCTTCCAGGATTAAGAAACTGCTTTACCTTCTGCGCTCCATGTCATGCTGATCCACATTAGGAACAGATATGGTGACTCCTGAAGGGTTGGCCATATCGAATTTCCGGATGCTTTTCTTGCAAACGCCCACCCTAACAAGAGCATTGTATATGCTGTTACTTACCACAGCTATCGGGGGTTGAATTACGTTAGGGAAAAAACTGCAATTAATTTAAAAAATCATTGTTTCCTCCATTTAAAATGGAAATGCCTGTTACCTTGCAAAAGTAAAATAGTCAGCCATGTCGCCTCTAGAACCACTGCTGTGCTTCTGATAAAACCTCAAATACACCCAGCTAACGATCATGCCCCAAAAATACATTGTTGGATAAGTACCGTCGACTAGTCCAACAAGTTTCAAGATCACAGATAAGAAGAATACGGTGAGTGGTATATTCCTGTTGCTCAATTTGCCCAGAGGAGTCTTCATGATGACCAAGTCTGGCATTATTTGCTTCACTGCCACTGACACTCCAGCAATGTATCCAGCCAAGCCATGTATGTACACACTGTACAGATATCTCGTATCATTGAAACAGTAGTATAAAACAAAGTAGAAAGTAGTAGTGAGAATGCCCACTCCGAAGTTAGTGAGAGCAAAAAAGGTCATCATCTCCAATGGGCCCCAGAGAGGCTCGATCAGTTTTCCACACAGTCCGACGGTTATAACATCGACCAGGACTTCCCAGAAGTGAATTTCCATGAAACAGAACGTGAATAGGGACCAGATCCTCGTCGGAGGCATAATATATCCGGGGGTAATTGAAATGACTTCCACGGCATCGTCCCAGTAGGAAAGCCCGTAGCTAACTAGAACCACTCCGCAGATAAACTGCACTGACGTGCTGGTATTCCCTAGTAAAGCTCCGAATTGCTGCTTTAAATAGGGCAAATTTCTACCCAGAGCTCTAAACATAGCCATCACCACAAATCATTTAGGTTAGGTTGCAGAGTTCACTCACTGTCTATTTTCTTCTTCACTAAATGGCGCAGCGCCATAGTTGTCGGTTTTGCCCTTGATTTTTAGCGATAAGGCGGATTCTTTGCTTGTTACATGGACCAGACAAGGACACAAATATATGGTGTTCTCGTTTTTAGATGCGGATTGTTGCCTAATTCACGAGTTAGTTTTTTGCAAATATATCAGTTTTTAGTGAGAATAATCGCACTCATTTAATGCCCTGAGCAATAACATAATTTGTTTAAATTTTGTATATTCGAAAAATTGTCCGTTGTCAACAAAATTATGTTCTAAATATTTTTAAAACACCCCGTAAATTTTCAAAAATTGTAAAAATTTCCAGGGATTTTCAACGTTTAACCTCTTTTTTTGCACTGTGTATTAGCTAGTCAATTATTGTGTGGACTCGTGCGAATATTGGGTGCCACAATGAATAAATCTTAATAATTCACACTTTTCGAATGCCTATAAATAGGAAGTAGAAAAACGAAATTAACTGAAATCGAACATTTTATTTATTCAAGTTAGCTATGCAACTGAGCGTTTGGGAATGTTACCAAATATGTCGACAATAGGACCTAATCTAGTACGTAATTATACTTAAACAGGTAGATAATACTTCCTTCTGGTGAAGCTAAAAAAATTGTGCGGAGAAATAAAAGAGTTTTATAGTGCTCTGGATACTGATATGTGCGCAGATAAAGATCGTCTCTTAAAACTGCGCTGTTTTGGCACTGCGTTGAATTAGAGTCACCAAAAGGAACTACTAAACATTTTCTAAACAAGGCACCTTTGGTCAGATTTGCGCCTAATTTGGTTAAGACGAGAACCTCAGCTTCCTGATTTGTGGCTCTAGTCACGCTGCCATTAAAACACAATATAAGTAGCTAACTTTATAATAAAATGATATGAAAAATATATTCAAATGTAAAATAAAATTTATAAACTTAAAGATAAGATTAGATTTTTATATGTATAATCGAATATTGCTTTTTATTTGGACTCCCGAAGGAACCTTGTTGATAATAATTATATTACAAATGGTATCAGCGGCCTAAAACGTAAATAAATACTTAAACCTAACTATAAACCCAGCACCTGATATTTAATGAGCATTTTATAAAATCTGACTTAACACTATTTACAAAATTATGTGCAGTACTTGTGAAAATGTAAAAAAAGTAAAATGTACTTAGTCAATTAAGTCATTAAATGTTTAAAATTTGATGTTGATGAAAGAAAACTCATTCGCCCAAATATTACTAGAACGGAGTTCGGCTCATCAAGTCCTTAATCCTCGAACATGAGTTTGAATGAATGTTTATAAAACATTTCAACCCTGCTCGATTAATTAATTTATTAACTGATTTAGATAAGAGTAGATATAATTGTAAATTTCATATTTATTTAATTTGCAAACTATTTCCAAAATCTTAGTCATTTTCCTCCTCAAAACCGCCCAAATTTAATTGCAAAAAGTGGCATTTTGTCAGAAAATTTAAATGCACTGAGGCCGCAGCCTCGTCTCATATTTGCCTGTTCTACATCACTCCTATTCACTGGAATTTCGCGAAAAACTGCTGATTACCTTGCTGGGAAAACCCGGGAGCATTCGGACTGGAAAATGCCGCATTGTTGGCATTCGATCTGGGCTGGTTGACTGGAGAAGTCGGATTGCTGGCCAGTTGATTCATACTCAGAGATGGCGCAGTTTTGGGTTTACTCAGGAGTAGATTGTCCAGGTCGATGTTCACGTTTCCAGAGTTGGCCCAAGTGGAGCCCAAGGGCTGGTTTCTGGTAATGGAGGTGGCCGCAGAACAGAGGGCTGGGTTTGAATTGGAAGAGGGTTGTAATGGGGCGATTGGAGAAGGAGTGAGCAACTCCCCTAAAATAACATTCATTGAAAATTCCGCATTTCTGTGGTGTTTCACATTTAAATAGACTTTTTTCTACACGCAATACAATGGAGTTCGTGGGTCCGCTAAAAAACTTCCACATTGATTGCTGTTTTTTTGTCTATTAACGGCCTACAAAATTTCAATTTTTCTCCAGTTGCTGCCAAATTTGCTCCAGATTGAAATCGGCTGTTAATATCAGAGTCATCATAGGGACCTAAAGCGAATTTTTTTAATGATATTTTAGTAGAAGTTAATTGAGAATCGAACGAGAGTTTCGCCCCTTTTCAGGTACCCATCAGTCTTCTCTTCAATATCGGTTCTTCGTTAATTAAGTTTCATTGGACTTTCCCCACGTTTAAAGGACTAAAACCCCAAATTTGAGAAACTCTCAAAGTCCGACAGGAAAAAACACTTCATGCCGCGATTTCGAATTCTAAATGATGAGCCATTTATACATGGATTAATTTTTTTGTAATAACATGCTGTTTTCGCTGTATTTGGAAGTTGAAAGATATTTTTTCGGGTGTTTGTGATCAAAGTAAGCATTTAAAAAGTTATCTGCCAGATTCGAGGATTTTTTCTTAGCATGGATTTATCAGCACTGTCGTTAACGTAAACAGAAATAATTACATTTTTTCCAATTAAACTGCTTAAATGCATTTTCATTTTGTGCCCGTAACTTTGAAAACAATTTTTTCCACAACCAATTGAACTCGATTTGCTTGTGGT